AAGAGGGAGAGAGAGAGATCATCAGTGATGAGAGAGAATCACGGATCGGCTGCCTCCTGCACGCCCCCCACTGGGGATGGAGCCGGAAACCCCGGGCCTGTGCCTGACGGGGAATCGACCCGGGACCTCCTGGTTCATAGGTCGACGCTCAACCACTGAGCCACACTGGCCGGGCTACTTGGTTTTCAGTTTGAGAGGGATTCGGCGTTCGGGACGTCAGATCTGTGTCTGTCAAATTGATAAATGTGTTCGTTGGCTGAGGACTGATGCTCTCACCGTGGTTCCATTGCAGCGATGGCTTTAAGGAGATCATGCCCTACGACCACTTCCAGCCTCTCCCTCGGTGAGTGATGTCGTTAACTCTTTTTTTTTTTTTAAATATTTTTTTATTGATGTCAGAGAGGAAGGGAGAGGGAGAGAGAAACGTCAATGATGAGATAGGATCATGGATCGGCTGCCTCCTGCACGCCCCCCACTGGGGATCGAGCCCCCAACCCGGGCCTGTGCCCTGAGCGGGAATCGAACCCTGACCTCCTGGTTCATAGGTCGACGCTCAACCACTGAGCCACACTGGCTAGGCTGGTGCGGAGACCTTTTAAAGAGGCTTTCATCCTCTGTGTGTGATTAATTAGACTCTCATGTGTCCTGTGAAGGGGAATGAAGGCAGGTGGATGGTTCCCACAGGATAGTAACCTCAGGGTCAGAGGTCACCTGTGACTAGAATGTGTAGCAGCAAAGATGAAAGTCTGGCCCTGGCCGGTGTTGCTCAGTGGATAGAGCGTCAGCCTGCGGACTGAAGAGTCTTGGGTTTGATTCTGGTCAAGGGCACGTACCTCGGTTGCACGCTCCTCCTCCGCCAGGCCCTGGTTGGGGCACGTGCAGGAGGCAACCAATCGATGTGTTTCTCTCACATCAATATTTCTCTCTGTCTTTCCCTCTCTCTTCCACTCTCTCAAATCAATGGAAAAATATCCTTGGGTGAGGATAAAAATGAATGAATGAGTGAATGAATGAGTGAATGAATGAACAAATGCGTGAATGAATGAGTGAATGAATGAATGAGTGAGTGAATGAATGAGTGAATGAATGGATGAATGAGTGAATGGTGAGTGAATGAGTGAGTGAGTGAGTGAATGAATGGATGAATGAATGGATGAATGAGTGAATGGTGAGTGAATGAGTGAGTGAGTGAATGACTGACTGAGTGAATGAATGAATGAGTGAATGGTGAGTGAATGAGTGAATGAATGAATGAGTGAATGGTTAGTTAGTGAATGAGTGAGTGAGTCAATGACTGACTGATTGAATGAATGAATGAGTGAATGGTTAGTTAGCCAGTGAGTGAGTGAGTGAATGAATGAATGAGTGAATGAATGAATGAGTGAATGGTTAGTGAATGAATGAATGAGTGAGTGACTGGTGAGTGAATGGTGAGTGAATGAGTGAGTGAATGAGTGAATGAATGAGTGAGTGAATGAGTGAATGAATGAGTGAATGAATGAGTGAATGAGTGAATGAATGAACGAATAAAGACTTAAGTCTGAATCCCCCACATCCCGTGCTCTTTGAGCCGAACCACAACTGTGACCCTCTCTGCAGCCCTGTTTGCAGACGTGACACACCCGAGCGACCAGCACACGAGTAACCGAGTAACGTGCTTGCGTTTGTTTGCTTCCGAGCTGGGAACATAACCCGTGGACGGCGTGCTCCGTGTCCTGCGGGGGCGGCACCCAGCGGCGCAGCTTCGTGTGCGTGGAGGAGTCGCTGCACGGCGAGGTCCTGCGGGTGGAGGAGTGGAAGTGCATGTACGCGCCCCGGCCCAGGGTCATGCAGACCTGCAACCTCTTCGACTGCCCCAAGTGGGTGGCCATGGGCTGGTCCCAGGTGAGGCGGACCCGGATGTTCAGGAGTATTTGCCATGTGTTATTGGGTTTTTAAAAATACTAGTGGCCCGGTGCACGAAATTCGTGCATGGGGGTGTCCCTCAGCCCGGCCTGCACCCTCTCCAATCTGGGACCCCTCGGGGGATGTCCGATTGCCAGGGATCGGGTCTAAACCGGCAGTCGGACATCCCTCTCGCAATCCGGGACTGCTGGCTTCTAACCGCTCACCTACCTGCTTGCCTGATCACCCCTAACCACTCTGCCTGCTGGCCTGCTCGCCCCCAACTGTACCCCCTTACCAGCCTGCTTTCCCCCAACTCTCCCCCCGCCAGCCTGATCACCCCCAACTGGCCACCCCTCCTGGCCTGACCGCCCCTAACCGCCTCTGCCTGGGCCCGGCCACCATGGCTTTGTCTGGAAGGTCTCCCGGAAGGTCACCTGGTCTAATTAGCATATTACCCTTTTATTAGTACAGAGAGAGGCCTGGTGCATGGGTGGGGGCTGGCTGGTTTGCCCTGAAGGGTGTCCGGGTTCAGGGTGGGGGTCCCCTTGGGGTGTAGGGCCGGCCTAGGTGAGGGGCCTGGGGCAGTTTGCAGGCTGGCTACGCCCCCATCGGGGTGGGGGTCCCTGTGGGGGGCGGGGCCGGCCTGGGCGAGGGGCTGAGGGCCATTTGGCGGCGGTTTGCAGTCCGGCCAAGCCCCCAGCTTTGTCCAGAAGGTCTCCTGGTCTAATTAGCATATTCCTCTTTTATTAGTATCGATATTTTCACTGATTTCAGAGAAGAAGGGAGACAGAGAGAGGTATGGGTGACCTCTTCATGTGACAATAGCTTTGAAAGATGGATTTCTGTAGATAGAAGAGAAAGATGATCCGCTGGCCTGCTTCATCGAATTTGGGTTTGTTTGTTGTTGTTAATCCTCACCCGAGGATATTTTCCCACTGATTTTTAGGGAGAGTGGAAGGGAGAGGGAGAGACAGAGAGAGACATCGATGTGAGAGAGACACATCGATGGGTTGCCTCCTGCATGTACCCTGACGAGGGCCGGGGAACCTGTAACCGAGGCACACGCCCTTGACCAGAATCGAATCCGGGACCTTTCAGCCCGCGCGCTGACACTCTATCCACTGAGCCACACCAGCCAGGGCTTAAATTTGTTTTTTGAAATTTATAGCTTAGCAACATTTCTTCCATCTCCACAACGTGATGGATAATGTCATGTAAATTTGTAAAAAATTTGAAAAAAAAATTTTCTTTCCTATTTAAACAGCAAGATTTTCAAGAGATTTCGATTTTTTTCCCCACTGTGACTGCATCTTTTCTATTTAATATTGACCTCGCCCAGCAATTTTCAACTTTCTTCAGCTCACAGCACACACACATAAAATTACTAAAATTCTGCCGCACACCAAAAAATATATTTCTTGCCAGTCTGACAAAAAAAAATAGGTATAATTTTGATTGATTTACAGAACATTACTAGTAGTAATAAAAATAGTAATTACCTACGCTTTTGGCTCCAAAGTGACTTTTTAAGAAATCAGATGCCTAGACTTGTATGTAAGCATTTCCGGTACCAAGAATCAACCAATCAGATGCCACCTTATTATGGGAGGTGACCAATAAGATGCAACTCTGTTATGTGACCCATAGATTTATGGCTTCAGACTGGAAGGGTGTTGTGTTGGCCCGTGTTGGTTTTTTTTGAAAAATATTTTTTATTGATTTTTTACAGAGAGGAAGGGAGAGGGATAGAGAGTTAGAAACATCAATGAGAGAGAAACATCGACCAGCTGCTTCCTGCACACCTCCTACTGGGGATGTGCCCGAAACCAAGGTACATGCCCTTGACCGGAATTGAACCTGGGACCCTTCAGTCCACAGGCCGATGCTCTATCCACTGAGCCAAACTGGTTAGGGCTCGTTTTTTTATTTGACAATCTAAGAGAAAAGAGGTCAGTGCCTCTCACTAAATAGTCAGGTATTGTGTGTTTTATTCATTTACTAGAGGCCTGGTGCACAAAATTCGTGCACGGGTAGGGTCCCTCGGCCTGGCTGGCGATCAGGGCTGGCCGGGGCCTTCCTTCCAGCTGCCGTCCAGGGCCTTCCTTCATTCCGAGCTGCTCCCTGGTGGTTAGCGCACATCATAGCGAGCGGTCGAACTCCCGGTCCCTCGGTCGAACTCCCGACGGGACAATTTGCATTTTATATAGAGATTATTGCCTTTTATATAGAGAGATTTTTTTTTTAATCCTCACCTGAGGATACTTTTACATTGATTTTTAGAGAGAGTGGAAGGGAGAGGGTGAGACAGAGAGAAACATTGATGTGAGAGAGACATATCAGTGGACTGCCTCCTGAACGCACCCCTCACCCTTGACCGGAATCGAACCCGGGACCCTTTGGTCCGCAGGTTGACGCTCTATCTACTGAGCCAAACCGGCCAGGGCGGTATTGGGTGTTCTAAATTTTTTTTTTTAAACAGTTAGTGGAACTGAAGTTTTTTTTTGTTTTGTTTTGTTTTTTATTGATTTTTTACAGAGAGGAAGGGAGAGGGATAGAGAGTTAGAAACATCGATGAGAGAGAGACATCGATCAGCTGCCTCCTGCACACCCCCTACTGGGAATGTGCCTGCAACCAAGGTACATGCCCTTGACCGGAATCGAACCTGGACCCTTCCGTCTGCAGGCCAACGCTCTATCCACTGAGCCACACCGGTCAGGGCTGTTTTAAAACTTCTAGCAGCACACCAGTTGCAAATGGCTGACATGGAGCAGCGGCTCCTCCTTCGCATGAGACGCGGACACCTCCGTGGGTCTCACCGGCTTCTCTCTTCCTCTCCCAAGTGCACGGTGACCTGCGGCCGGGGGCTGCGCTACCGGGTCGTGCTGTGCATCAACCATCGCGGGCAGCACGTGGGCGGCTGCAACCCTCAGCTGAAGTTACACATCAAGGAGGAGTGTATCATCCCCGTCCCCTGTTACAAACCCAAAGGTGGGCGTGCATTTTATTCATTCGATCATTCATCTACTTACTGGAGGCCCGGTGCACGAATTCATGCATGGGTGGGGTCCCATGGCCTGGCCGGAGATCAGGGCCTCTCAGGCCCGTCTCACCCAGGCCCAATCGGGGCCGATGGGGGCCGGCCAGCGGGGGGGAGGGGAGGGACCATGGGAGGTTGGCTGTGGGAGCAAACTGACCACCAGGGGGCAGATGTTCAATGCAGGAGCTGCCCCCTGGTGGTCAGTGTGCATCATAGCAACCAGTCAACGGGTTGTTCGGACATAACAGTTGCTTAGGCTTTTATATAGAGAGATTATTTTTGTTAATCCTCCCCCAAGGATATTTTTCCATTGATTTCTAGAAAGAGTGGAAGGGAGGTGGAGAGAGAGAGAGAGAGAGAGAGAGAGAGAGAGAGACAGAGAGCAACATTGATGTGAGAGAAGACACGTCCATTGGTTGCCTCCCACATGTGCCGTGACCAGGGCCAGGGATCCAGCCTGCAACCTAGGTACATGCCCTTGGCTGGAATCAAACTCGGGACCCTTCAGTCCGCAGGCCAACGCTCTATCCACTGAGCCACACCGGCTAGCACAGTGGGTTTGTGTTTTAAAGTTACATTGAATGGTGTTTCCTGGCTCTCGTTCTAATATCGCAGCATTTAGGTTTCATTATACTAACATTCTTTTTTTTTTTAATGTATTTTTCTTGATGTCAGAGAGGAAGGGAGAGAGAGAAACATCCATGATGAGAGAGAATCATGGATCAGCTGCCTCCTGCACGCCCCACACTGGGGATCAAGCCCACAACCCGGGCCTGTGCCCTTGACTGTGAATCAAACCCTGACCTCCTGGTTCATAGGTCGACGCTCAACCACTGAGCCATGCCGGCCGGGCGAAGCACGACCCCTTTATTGATGAAATCTTCAGCGGGAACGGCGGCTTCCAGCTCCTTCGTGCTTCATGATAATAGTAACACTTGTTGTTTCTGTTCTTCTTTCCTTAGAAAAGAGCCCAGTGGAGGCAAAGCTGCCCTGGCTGAAGCAAGCCCGGGAGCTGGAGGAGACCAGGGTGGCGACGGAAGAACCGACGTGAGTAGAGGAACTTTTTATCTTTACTGACGTCAGAGAGGAAGGGAGAGGGAGAGAGAGAGAAACATCCATGATGAGAGAGAATCACTGATCGGCTCCCTCCTGCACGCCCCCCACTGGGGATCGAGCCTGCAACCTGGGCCTGTGCCCTGACCGGGAATCGAACCCTGACCTCCTGGTTCCTAGGTCGACGCCCAACCACTGAGCCACACGGGCTGTGGAGGGCCTTTTAACCCCTAGAGTGCGGGAGCTCTATCTATCGAGCTCCTCCCGCAGTGTCACTGTTAGATGCTAGTAGTTCACTCTTTATTGGCAGACGGCACCTAAGTGCAGGTTACTTATGGTGCCGAATGTTTGTAGTTCTAAGATTGACCAGTGGCATTTATCCGCCTACGTTTTTACAGGTACGACGATTTTATGAAGTTTACTCAGATTTTGTCGCCCTAAAGCTTCGAAATGGCGTCCAGTTCTAAGTCTGCTTTTATGAGTGATGATGATATTGCTAAATATGTCCATTCTTGCTGCGAAGATGACGATTTTGTGGAAGATATTGGAGAAGGGTGTCCCTCTCTTTGAACATTATATGTTTTGCTCAAATTTTGTTTTCTACTAGTATTTTATTTTTTTAAATTTTTTAAAAATATATTTTTATTGATTTCAGAGAGGAAGGGAGAGGGAGAGAGAGAGAGAAACATCAATGATGAGAGAGAATCATCGATCGGCTGCCTCCTGCACGCCCCCTACTGGGGATCGAGCCCGCAACCCGGGCCTGTGCCCTTGACCGGAATCGAACCAGTGACCTCTTGGTTCGTAGGTCGATGCTGTACCGCTGAGCTACAACCGGCTGGGCTCTACTAGTATTTTATCATACAATCAGCAAGCAGTATGTCCAAGATGAAAACAAATGTAGTAAACGTTTCCTTATGTTTTTGAATATGTCACTTCATTGACTTGCGATTCATAATTTTTTTCCTAAACTGCTGTAAGGTCAGCAAAAGTGCCTTGGCGATTTTAGCACAGTTCCTAGGATACTGGTTGGCACTCAGAGGGTTAAGGGAGTCACCAGGGCCCGGCCAGTGAACGTGATCTACGTAATTTTTGTCCTCACGGGAGTCCAGCTGTTCCACACACCAGGGCCCTGGCTCCTCAGACCCCCAAGGGCCTGGCCCTGAGCTGGCTGCACGCCTCCCTGTTGCTCAATCCGCCGGCCCCGCTTTGGCTGCGTCTGTGAGAAGCTCACAGGAGAGCAGGGTCCTTTAACGCAAAGCAGACCCGGGATCCTGTTTCGATTAAGAAACTGGGCGTCGTTCCTACATCTAGACCAGCGGTTCTCAACCTTCCTAACGCCGCGACCCTTCAATACAGTTCCTCATGCTGTGGCGACCCCCAACCATAACATTATTCTCGTGGCTACTTCATCACTGTCATGTTGCTCCTGTGATGAATCGTCATGTAAATATCTGATATGCAGGATGGATTTTCATTGTTACAAATTGAACATCATGAAAGCATAGTGATTGATCACAGAAACAATATGTAATTATAGATGTGTTTTCCAATGGTCTTAGGCGACCCCTGTGAAAGGGTCGTTCGACCCCCAAAGGGGTCGCGACCCACAGGTTGAGAACCGCTGATCTTGATGAATACACGTGACTTGACCAAGGACCAGGTGGCATTAGAGACATAAGCCAGTCACGCTCCACGGTGTGGTCACGGCCGGTCTCTATAAAAACATTTCCCTTGAACCCTGGCTGGTGTGGCTCAGTGGGTAGAGCGTCAGCCTGCGGACCGAAGGGTCCCGGGTTCGATTCCAGTCAAGGGCACGTGCCTCGGTTGCCGGCTTCTCTCCTGGCTGGGGAGTATGCAAGAGGCAATCAATCAATGTGTCTCCCTCACATCGATGTTTCTCTCTCTTTCCCTCTCTCTCCCACTCTCCCTAAAAATCAATGGGAAAAATACCCTTGGGTGAGGATTTAAAACAAAACAAAACATGTATGTTGAGCCCTGACGGGCATGGCTTAGTGGTTAGAGCGCCAGCCTGCACACTGAAGGGTCACGGGTTCGGTTCTCAGTCCGGGGCACGTACCTGGGTTGCAGGTTTGCTCTCCGGCCCCAGTTGGGGCGTATGCGGGAGTCAACCAATCGATGTGTCTCTCTCACATCGATGTTTCTCTCTCTCTCCCTCCCTCCCTCCTCACCTCCCTTCGGTTCTCTCTAAAAAATCAATAGGAGCCCTGCCCAGCTTGGCTCAGTGGGTAGAGCATCGGCCTGTGGACTGAAGGGTCCCAGGTTCGATTCCAGCCAAGGGCACGTACCTGGGTTGCAGGCTTGATCCCCAGTGGGGGGCGTGCAGGAGGCAGCCAATCAATGATTCTCTCTCATCATTGATGTTTCTATCTCTCTCTCCTCCCTTCCTCTCAGAAATCAATAAATATATTTTTAGGAAAAAAAATCAATGGGAAAGATACCATCGGGTAAAGATTAACCAAAAAAAGCCATTTACGTTGAAATGTATCCAGGCACGTGGCCCGAGTGACTGTAAGGCGATTGTCCCAGAGCCCCTAAGCTGTGGGCTCCCTGCACCTGAGACAGGACATGGTGCAGCTGGGTTTGGGTCTAGAAGCATCGCTTTTGACTCTGTGACCTTAGTCAGGTCTTTCATTGCTCTGCGTCTGATTCCTCAGCCTGGTTTTAATCTCTAAAGCAGGGGTGGGGAATGTCCGGCCCGCGGACCATCGAAGGCCCTTGAAATCATTTGGCCTGGCCCTGCCACGGCACTAGGGGTGAGCTCATTAAATGTGGGACCAAACAGAGCAGGCTCATTTTTAAGTGGATCATTTTGCATGGCCCGAGCATCTATATATATAAAAGCCTAAGCGACCGTTATGACCAGTCGACCGAATGACCGGTTGACCACTGACCGGCACGCACTGACCACCAGGGGGCAGACGCTTAACACAGGAGCTGCCCTTGGTGGTCAGTGCACTCCCACAGCCAACCTCCCACGGCCGGCCAACCTCCCGCGGTTCCTCCGCCTGGCTGGCCGGACGGCCCTGATTGGTCTCCGATCAGCCCTGATCACCAATCAGGCCGAGGGACCCCACCTGTGCACGAATTCGTGCACCGGGGCTCTAGTGATGTTATAAATATGAAAATGGCCCTTGGCAGGAAAAAGGTTCCCCACCCCTGATCTAAAGGGTCCATTCCAAAAAAGGGGAAATAAAAAAACAAAAAGGGAAATAAAAAAAGAAAAAATAGCTTGGTGGATAGAGCGTCGGCCTGCGGACTGAAGGGTCCCGGGTTCGATTCCGGTCAAGGGCATGTACCTGGGTTGCGGGCACATCCCGAGTGGGGGGCGTGCAGCAGGCAGCTGATCGATGTTTCTCTCTCATCAATGTTTCTGACTCTTTATTTCTCTCCTTTCCTCTCTGTAAAAAATCAATAAAATATATTTTTAAAAATAAAAATAAATAAAATAAAGAAAAAATAAAGGGTCCATTCCAACTCAAAAAATCCAATGGCTTCCACCCACCTGTGATTTGGGAAGTCTGGGTAGAAGTGTTATCAGTGGAAATTTGGAGTCAAGAGCAAATCCAAGAAAAGTCCTGGTGCTCGCCGATTTGGTTCAGTGGATAGAGCATGAGCCCGTGGACTGAAGGGTCCTGGGTTCAGTCTTGACGTGTGGGAGGCAACCATCAATGTGTCTCTCTCACATCGATGTTTCTCTCTGTCTCTCCCTCTCCCACGCTCTCTAAAAATCAATGCACTGGGACAGCGGGTTCCACGTCCAACCCGTGACGTATGTGAGTTATTTACGGAGACGGCGATGCACAGGGTATGAGGGAAGCGGATCTCAGAGGTCATGTGGTCACCCTCCTTGTCAGAGCAGGAGTCTCCTCTTTTTTAAAAAATAAATATCTTTTTATTGATGTCAGAGAGGAAGGGAGAGGGAGGGGGAGAGAGACACATCAGTGATGAGAGAGAATCATGGATCAGCTACCTCCTGCAGGCCCACCCACTGGGGATCGAGCCCACAACCCGGACATGTGCCCTGTTTGGGAATCGAACCCGGGACACTTCAGTCCCCAGGCTGACGCTCTATCCACTGAGCCACACCAGTTAGGGCAGGACTCTGCTCTCTATCACCGTCCGCAGCGGGCAGCGTCATTGAGAGGCAGTGTGTTTTTTGTCGTCGGCAAGATGTTTCGTCTGTGGAGCCAAAAAGCACCTCCTTCAGACGCCTGCTTTCTGTCCCAGTTGGTGTTGCTCAGTGGTTAGAGCGCTGGCCCGTGGACCCAAGGGTCTCGGGTTTGATTCCGGTAAAAGGGCACGTACCTCGGTGGTAGGCTGGGTTCCTGGTCTCGCTTTCAACATCAGAAACACTGTGCGCTGTACGGGATTGGAAAAGGGGGTGATAGCAGGTAGAGACAGTGGGTTCCACCCCTTCTCATTCCCGGCCTGCACTTCCTGTCAGCCCCACCCAACCTCGCTGGCAGGTCCTTTCTCTTCATGATCCAGGAGTGGAGCCAATCTGCCCTTTCCTGGTGGGGACCTGCTTCATCCCTCCTGGCAGGGTGCATGGTACCCGTTGGTGCAGGGAGCTCATAGGGTCAGGGAGTTCACAGGTGCATGGTGATCACTGGTGCAGGGAGCCCACAGGTGCATGGAGCCCACAGGTGCAGGGAGCACACAGGTGCAGGGAGCCCACAGGTGCAGGGAGCTCATAGGAGCAGGGAGCCCACAGGTGCAGGGAGCCCACAGGTACAGGGAGGCCACAGGTGCAGGGAGCCCACAGGTGCAGGGAGGCCACAGGTGCAGGGAGCCCACAGGTGCAGGGAGCTCACATGTGCAGGAGCCCACAGGTGCAGGGAGCTCACAGGAGCAGGAGCCCACAGGTGCAGGAGCTCACAGGTGCAGGGAG